ATCCGCATGTACTTTGCAGACTACCGACCTCGTAAGGATCTGATGCTTAGAGCAATAAGGGCTCTTTTCCTTAAAATCACATTGATTTTACATCTAGAAACTGACTTGAACACAAATCATATAAAGCCACCTGTTCTCAATCAAAATATAGGAAGGAAGGATGGGGGATGGAGAGTGAAAATACAAAGGAAAACTGTGCGGCATGTCTGTGTCAAATGTTGCAGAATCCATGGTTACGCTGCCAAGAACACAAAGTACTCATTGGCTGTCTGTCATTTGCACTTTTGTCAGTGGGGCCAGAGAATCTGAATTTAATTTTAATAGTTTTAACATTCTTTTCTTAGTTACTTATTGTATTCCTTAAGAAAACAAAACCAAAAATCGGATGCATACCGAAAACAAAGACATCAAAGGGTATTTGTCAAAAGCAACGGGAACACCAGAGATTAAAAACAAGGAATGCACAGGCAGTCACTGCCCACAACATGCCAATGACAACCATTCCGGGCCTGCCCCTTGGGAAAAGGTGTGCTTTTAATGGAGTTAGGCCTCCAAGGGGAGCAGACTCCCTCCATAAAGGCCCAGCCTCAATGCCATTATCTCGCCCTGCCCTGTCCCACTTGCTCAGATGCCAAATCCTGGCCTCTCAAATTTGCTGAGCACGGAGGGTCCCCATGCCCATGATCTGCCTTAAAAGCAGCTTATGCTCACACCTGCTCGTGCTTTTCAATTTCACTATTACATTAACCGAGTAAAAAAGCGGATATAAATAACTAAAATATTGAGGGAAAATAGGAAGGCGACTACTGCGTTAAAAATTAAGTGTGTAGGGGTTCAGAAGAGGGACTGATCATTGCAATGAGGGAGGCTAGGAAGGAGGCTTCAAGGAGGTGGACCTGGAATGATAAGTAGGATGGAACCCTGTAATGCCCCGTCCTTCCCACATTTTTGAGAGCCGCTGTTTGTCTGCCCTGTTCTGGCGCTTTCCTTTTTCTAGGGAGCTGGCTGCACCCTCAGGCAGACCTAGGCCAGTATGTGAAACCCACGGTTCTTTCTCCTTCCTCAGTGACCTCCATGCTATTTTATGGCTCCGGTGGGTCCCCCCTCACCCCCTTTTCCCATCTCCCTACTCCTTTAGGCTATGGCAATTTCACTCACCTTAGGGGTGCTAATTGGTGATAGGCTATCTATCCCTTCCAAAAAGCACAGTTTGCTGCTGCTTATAAAATGCCCCTCACCTATAGGAGTGACACTAATGGTATAATTTCTGGGGCAGTGGCAGAGTCACCCAAAAATGTCCTTGGACTTATGGCCTTTTGGAACTACCAAATCCCCTTAGAGAGGTCAGAGGTTGAAAAGG